TCACCAATTAGTCAAGGAACAACTAGAAATAATGCTATTTTAGATTTATTGTCAACTTCAAATACAGAAATGATTGAGAGGGTGGAAATTGGGAAACACCTGGGTGCAAGTGGTCATTGCTCTATTAGGTTCAATGTTTTGCTGCATATGGAGATAAGGAATAATGATATTTTGGTTACAAATTTCAAAAAATAAAATTTTGAAGGGATGTGACAAGAATTATCTGTTGTGAATTGAGCAGCTGAATTATTCATCAGATGTTGAAAATTTTTGAATATAAATTCTTAAATATTCAAGGTAAACATATTACTTATAGAAAGAAAAGGGTAGCTGCAAGTAAAAAACCAGGTTGGCTCACAAAGAGTTTAAGAGATAAAATTAAAGAAAAGCATCATAAATTTAAGAAATTTAAATTGGTATGACTGGAGATTGAGAAGATTATAAAAGATCAAGAAAGTTAGTGAAACAGGAAATTAGGACATCAGAAAGGATGTATGAGAAAAGATTGGCTGAAAATGTAGAAATTAACAGTAAGGATTTCTTTAAATACATTGAGGGTAAACAATAGGTTAGGATGGGGGGTAAGGCCCTTGAGGGATGATAAAGGAAGGCCAGTATCTGATGATTACGAGATGGCTGGGTTATTAAATTTTGCTTTTTCTACGGTTTTTACTAATGAAGATTTAAATAGTATATCTTGAACAGTTGATAAATGGAAACAAGATGACTGCATTAATTCTTATCTAGTTAAGAAAAAAACTGGGAAGTTTAAAAACCAATAAGTCTCCTGGGCCAGATAATATATATTCCCAAAGGTTTGAAGGAGATTAAAGATTGTATATGTGAGCCACTTACTAATATTTTTGTCAGTACTTGAATAGTGGGCAGGTAAAAGAGGATTGGAAGTTAGCTAATGTAATTCCTCTTTTCAAGAGAGGTGATAAAAATTGTCCCAGTAATTATAAACCCATTAGTCTTACATCAGTTTTGGAAAGTCTGAAAAAAGATGCTTTCCAAAGACATTTAACAAAGTTCAGAATTTTATTGGATAGTCAACATGGTTTCACTAACGGAAAATCTTGCCTTACAAATCTTTTGACATCCTTTAAAAAGGTTACTGCTTATGTAGATGAGGGTAACAGTGTAAATCTGTTGTATATGGATTTTCAAAAATAATTTGACAAGGTGTCACATAAAAGGTTTGTAAAAAAAATTATCCAATAGGTGTGGGGGATAAGTTAACAAATTGGATAGAGGAGTGGCTGGATGGAAAAAAGCAGATGGTTGTTACAAATGGAGTTCAGTCAAACTGGATTAATGTCACAAGTGGAGTACCTCAGGGCTCAGTCTAAGGACCTTTGCTCTTTTTGATTTACATCAATTACATAGATGGAGGAATGGTCAATAAATTACTTGTTTGTTTTTGAATTTCGTGCAAAGCTACACGAGGGCTATCTGCGCTAGCTGTCCCTAATTTAGCAAGACTAGAGGGAAGGCAGCTAGTCATCACCACCCACCGCCAACTCTTGGGCTACTCTTTTACCAACGAATAGTGGGATTGACCGTCACTTTATAATGCCCCCACAGCTGAAAGGGCGAGCATGTTTGGTGTGACGGGGATTCGAACCCACGACCCGCAGATTGCGAGTCGAGCGCCCTAACCACCTGGCCATGTCGGGCCAATAAATTATTTAAATTTGCAGATGATATTAAGGTCTTGGGTGTTGCTAGCTGTGAAGAGGATGCTGCTGCTTTACAAAAGGATTTAGATCATTTAGTGAGTTGGGAAAATAAATGGCAGATGGGTTTTAATTATAATAAATGCAAGATAATGCATATGGGTTCTCATAATTTGAATTATAAGTATAACTTGGAAGGGAATAACCTTAACAGTGTTATGAAGGAAAGGGATCTTGTTGTAGTAATCAATCAATCTCTAAGGCCATCCAACTATAGACTATCCAAGAATCACATGTATCAAGCAGTTGAACCATTCTGACAGCTGTGGAATATTCCAGAATTGAACTATTTTGACAACTGTGGAATATAAAAGAATCAGAAGTATCAAATCTGAATCCTTCTGAGAAGAATTCGAACATGGGAGTGTTACTTTAATTTGTATGTCACATAGTTAAAAAAAAACAAGAAAAAAATGTTAGCCTCTTGGACTTACTGAGAACTCTTGAAACCACTTCCATCGAGGAAGGTGTCACAAAAGTAGCCATGTTGACATTCTCTGTATTTGTATACAATGTCCAGACTTTTCAATCAATATGTACTGAATACTTCAACTTAAAATAATGTATAACCATCACATTTCAAACACTATAAATGAATATTTGATTTTACCAAACCTTAAAAAAGTTGAAGATGTTTTCTCGGGTCAATGTCCTCATGAAAGCCACTTCAACATTTTCTGGAAGAAAACATCTTTTAGATTATAAAGTGAACTCTTATAAATTCTTATTTCATCTAGTTTCTTTAACTTCGTATATGACTTATTAAATACATCAGAAATATTCAAAATCAAAAGTTATTATACAAAAATATCATAAACCTCATGACAAGTTTACTATTAATAATTAGAACTTCATCTGCTTTTTACTAAACTATAAAAATTAACGTTTTTTTTCTTTGAATAAATATTGATTATAGAGTAAGGTTAGTTGTAAGGTTGATAACAAATGAAATACTCATTCCATTTTAGTTTAAGAAAGTTGATATTAGTAACACAACACAAAGATGTTATTCAATAGAATAAGGAAGTTGATGTTAGTAACACAACACAAAGTTGTGATTCAATAGAATAAGGAAGTTGATGTTAGTAACACAACACAAAGTTGTGATTCAATAGAATAAGGAAGTTGATGTTAGGAACACAACACAAAGTTGTGATTCAATAGAATAAGGAAGTTGATATTAGTAACACAACACAAAGTTGTGATTCAATAGAATAAGGAAGTTGATGTTAGGAACACAACACAAAGTTGTGATTCAACAGAATAAGGAAGTTGATGTTAGTAACAGTGGAGGACAAAGAATGTTGGTGGAGTAATAACTAGAATAAGGAAGGTAATGTTAGCAGCACAACACAAAGATGTCATTCAATAGAATAAGGAAAGTAATGTTAGCAGCACAACACAAAGAGGTTATTCAATAGAATAAGGAAAGTAATGTTAGCAGCACAACACAAAGATGTCATTCAATAGAATAAGGAAGGTAATGTTAGCAGCACAACACAAAGATGTCATTCAATAGAATAAGGAAAGTAATGTTAGCAGCACAACACAAAGAGGTTATTCAATAGAATAAGGAAGGTTATGTTAATAACACAACACAAAGATGTTATTCAATAGAGTAAGGAAGGTGATGTTGTGATTCAGAGGAATATGGAAGGTAATGTTAGTAACACAACACAAAGATGTTATACAGAGGAATAATGAGGATAATGTTAGTAGCACAAAGATACTATTTAGAGGAATACCAAATGTAATGTTAGTAACACAACATGACGACATCATCCTGTGAAATTAACTCCACCACCAGAAAGGTGATGCAACTGCCATGCTCAGTAACTACCCTTAATCACTTGCACTTGAGATAATGTAATATTCTTTGATGAGGTAAGAACACCGGAAGTGGGAAGGGTGGGTGATAAGGTGTACAGATGTATCTATCAGAAATAAATTTCTGATTCAGAAAATGTTAACTTCCAATATGATACTTTACCTCTACACACAGAATAGCTAGAATATCATGATGTATTGGTGGAAGGGGTGGTGCAAAGTCCATGGATTGTGACACTCGATGGAAAGAAAAGAGAGGCAAATGAGCCCAGAGAGTTGCAGGAATGGGAAGAATGGGAACATGATTATCCGAGAAATTGCAAACAATTGGTTGATGAGCCAATATGTATTGTGCAGTTAAGTCATGATTAGGCCTTATGGAGTGTCCTCACCCCTACTTAATTGAACAGACTGAGGCTGCAGAAGGAGGGACATCAACGGTTTGAGGGGTGACCTGTACTACACTGACAGTACCACTACGTCAGTGGCTAGTAAATGGTAAGTGGCAAGGATCTCCCATGCTCAACTTGAAGAGGATGGTGGAGAATCCATAATGGGAAGACCTAGAGAAGTGCCTGAATCCCCAGGCAATAAGTAAGATTTCTTACTGGAGATAGTGCAATGGGTGATTGCACAGCTCTATGTATAAATGCCAACAAGCATGAGTTGTCACTTTCTTGATAGCCCAAGGAATAGTACGATCTGGATTGACCAATTGAGTAATAATGTACACCACAAGGACACCTCTGGCAAGAAAAATGGAGTGATGGATGAACCAAAAACAAAAAACCAGCCATTTCTGTTGTTAGACAGATAAAGTGGACAAAGGATAGGAATAGGATAGGAAGCAGGCTACACAATCAGAGAGTCTAGCCCTGAGGGTGATGGACGGGATAAATCTCACATGTGAAGACAAAGGGACATTATCCCTGGAGGAAAAAGGAAATGTGTGCAGTTAAGCAACAGTGAAGGGACACAGGGCAGAGGGAGGAGATTCTGGATGCCAAGCAAAGGAAACCAGGGTTGAACTGGCCAAAGAGATGCTACCAACATGACACGACAAGGAGTGTTGCGTATCACGGTGAGAAGCCATGGGAGAAGAAGAAAATAGGCATATAAAAAAAAAACATTGACGGCCAGATCCAAAGGATGAGGAATTGGGACCAGAATAGAAGAAGTTTGAAGTTTACAGGTGTGGCAAAGGCATCTATGAGGGGTGTGCCTAACCAAGAGTATGTCCAATGAAAGACTATGTGAGCAGAATGTGGTCCAGTCAAGAGATGTGATCTCACCAAGTTCAGAGCCCCAGGAATGTGACAAGTGATAAAACGAACTTGATGGGAATAAGCCCAGAAGAGGAGGTCTAAAGCCTGAAAGCAAAGAATCCTGGAAAGTGTGCTCATGGACAGGGGATATAAGAAACGACTGTGGAATTATCAGAGTAGGTCATGACCAACTGGTCACTCAGGTGAGGTAAGAAGTGGGAATGTGCCCAACAAACTATATGGAGTTTGAGCATGTTGATGTGGAAATAATACTCTTCCCATGCCTATAAGTGAGAAGTCATATTGTTATTGGAGATGTGCTATAACCTAAGAGGGAAGCATCTGTGAAGAGATAGATATCTGGATGGGAGGGGCAGTAAGAGGATGCCCACCATGGTATTGTCACAGTCGAGCCATTAAGGCAAGTCCTCGAGAATAGGAGAAGAGAGGTTGACTATTAAAGATAATGGATACCATGAAAGGTTCCACCACTCACACAAAGTCCACTGGAGGAGTGCATATATGTGCACCACAATATAATTAGTGGTTCCATTGAAGGCAGCAACCCCAAAAATGAAAGAATTTCCCATGCAGAATGAAAACTTGAAGCACAAATTGTGGCAACCAGATAGTCAATTGCTCCCAGGCATAGAGGAGAAGGCTGAGTTTACTGAGATGAGAGTTGAAAACATGTCCAGATGTATTAAACACTGTGTAAGCATGAGAAAGGATGTGGAGAGCTTGACAAACCATCCCAGCTGAGGAGCCTCTTGCAGAAGAAAGGAGATGTGGGCTAGGCAGAAGCCAATCATCCATGTAGAGATGGAATCTCAGCCCCTGACCGTGAATGTGGTGAGCTAGTGTCTTCAGGACTCAAATGAAGACCTACAGAGCTGATATTATGTCGAAAAGAAGAGAATTAAATTGGAAGAGTCACCTGCAATGAATGAAACACAGAAAACTACAGGAGGAAGGAGCAATCATGATATGTAGAAAAGCATCTGATACATAGACCTTGATAATCCACAGTCTGAGTGAAAAAGACTACTCAAGAAAAAAGAAATTCTCCATTTGTAATCACAGAACGACCAGAAACCAACTTTGAGGGAATAGGTAAATGTAAAAACTGGCAACCTTTTAGGTTCGATTAGGTAAAATAAATAATAATAATAATTTTTCACGAGGTATGCTCCCAAGTAGTCTGTGCATTAAGTAATTTGATACTGTAACATGAGCTGCACATTTGCCACGTGATTTACAACTTATGTAGCACAAATATTAGTTAGACATGGTTCAAACTGCAATAAAACAATCAACTTTAAGTATAAATAAATGTATACTGTTATGAGTTTAAAGCTATTTAGGAAAACAAATGTATTTTAATGTTATAACTTGAAGTCATTCTAGAAAGAAAACAAATGGAAATTTAGATTTATTTTGAAATTTTTTTTGGTGGTTGAGGTCAGTCTAATTGACCAACCTTGTATAGAGTTAGGGTAGAGAAAAAAAACATATAAAATATAAAGTTTTACTGAAAGAAAATGTCTAAAATATATTTAGGAGGTTTAGAGATTATGCAAGTGAAATTTGAGAGTTTTGAGGATAAGAAAAGTATTTTTAATCTTAACATGAAAGTTACTTTGCACTTGGAGTAGTAAAAAAAAAGAATCAATATATTCATGGAGAAATCTTTAGTTAAAAATATTTCATTAAAAAAAATCCAATTTTTTGTGTACAAAAGACTTTTATTGTTTATTGAAATTCTGCCAATTTTGTGAAGAAACACATACAGCTACTACATTAAAAGTTAGAGTGTGGAAACTATAATGCTTACAAAATTAACCACAAACCCTGTCATTTTCACCAACCTGATGGCAAGAGAGTTAAAGAGGGAATAAACCTCATCATGAAACCCCTCTGGAACATGATGACGTATCTCAGACATTAGGTGGAATGATGAGAGGCAACGTACAAGTGTAGTAAGAAAAATATGCAAGTCCAAAAATTGGGTAATAGAGAGAGAAAAATAGAATACAAGGGGTCTGCACCCTCAAGCAGGTAAAAAAGATTCCAATGACTGGAAATGAAGAAAGGGGAAGAAAGAATGGCTCTAAGCCAGGACAGAGGATGCAACAATGGTGCCATGGAGTAAAGAAGAAGAAGAGTTAAAACACACACAGGTGAATAAGAAAGAAATGAGCATACCTGGGAAATCATATACAAAAATAAATTGGAAGGTTAAGGATTGTCCTTGACCAGTAAGGCAATACACAAAGTAAATCTTGATAGAGGGAAGAGCTGGTTAAATATGTCATCACCCTGGTCATTCTGGGACTGAAGTGGTAAAACTTTGGCCACAGGGATGACAGGAGGAGGCCCAGCCATAGTAAAAATAGGTCCTGTGTTTGTAACATCTTTACTCTCATAGGGCACCGTAGAAGACAGCATCATTTGAGAATTCATGAAAAGCTAATTTAAAATGAAAGGTAAGTTTCGTGACAATTACAAATCTCGATAAATTGAACCAAGATTACAAAACAGTCTCATTCATGTCTATTAGAGACAATGCCAAGGAAAAATACATTATTTTGATTGCAAGTGATTAAGGTTAGTCACCGTGTATGGAGTTTGTGTCACCCTCCTATTGGTGGAGGGCTATCGTCGCATGATCTCATCATGCACTAGTGCAGTTCAAGTGAATTTTAGGTGAGAGTTAGCTCAATGTTATTGGCAAGCAAACCTCATTTCTAGATGTGTGAATAACATAACTACTCTGCGTACAAAGCTGAGGTATTGTATAGGAAAATAACAGATAAAATATAAACTTTTAGAAAAAAACTTTTGATATTCACAAGAAAGGTTCTAGAGGTTATACAAATGAAATATGAAACTAAAAGATTAACAGAAGTATTTATTAACTTTAAAATCACCTTGCACCAAGATATATATAGTACAGGCTTCAGGAATGCACAAACAAATCTTTAGTAGAAATACTTTATTAAAAATTCTGGACCAATCCTGTTGACATATGATTAAACTGCAATGTTCTCCACTTAAGTATTCTAATACAACTCGGGATTCTGAAACCTTGTTATTTTATGAATTTTCTTATTTGTACACATTCCACATCCATTTAATTTTTTCCCTTGCTACTGATTTAGTGTTAGCAAATGGCACCATTTGATTGTCCATATGAAATACATGTCACATCTGATGTTGGTACCTTGCCTAGAATATGAATAAAGAGAAATAGTTTGTATCTTACTTGATCCAAACTTAAGCTGTTCTTTGTAAACAATGCTCCTAGAAATGTGATTAAACGGTTACAATAAAATTGAAGTACTGGAGATGCTCTCATAATAATTGTATGTTGAGTTGTGCATAGTTATAACACCGGTATATTTGTATGTGAAACATGACAGTAGTTAGTTTCAAAGTGAAAACAGGACCTTATGTTCAAACCTAAGAGCTATTCTTAAATTGTAGTGTTCATATTATGACAACTGGGGGATATCCAAGAACCCCTTAAAATTTCTTAGTGATCAGAGGTAGGGAAGTTGAAAAATTTGTGTTATACATAAACAAGGTGATATATACAGACACAAGTCGTTTATGTTACAGATATTTACATGCCTAACAATCTCACCTCTGTCAAAATTATACTGCTGGGATGAAATTTCAGCCCAATACCTGTCAGACTGTTGGGACATGTTCTTAGGTCGTTCTAAAAGATGAGCAGCTAGAGAATCCTTATGGGCCTTGAACTCTTCCTCAGTCATTTGGCTAAGATAGCTCTAGGGGGTTTAAAATTGTTAGTCATGCACAAGTTTGTCATAAAATCGTACCCAAAATTTTTTCAGTGTTAATTAAATACCAATAAAGTTTGATTCTTCCAAAACGGAGCTTAAAAGAAAGAGACAGAACAAGGAATAAAAAACCTAGTATCATGTTTTTCTTTTCATGAAATATCAACAACAAATATCTTAATACTGATGTCCAGTAGATAGCCTCCTTGACCAGATCTTTATACAGGGTTGAATTAGCACATGACCCTGACCAAATGTTTCTGTAGGACTGAATTAGACCATGACCATATCTTTATACAGGGTTGAATTAGCACATGATCTTGACCAAATATTTTACAGGGTTGAATTAGCACATGACCCTGACCAAATCTTCTTACAGCATTGAATTAGCATATGACCCTAACCAAATCTTCTTACAGCATTGAATTAGCATATGACCCTAACCAAATTTACCATGTTCCAAATCAAAACTTTAGAAAAAGTAAAACAGTTTGTAAATAATAAATACACACCACAGGATAATGAAATATTTTGTATATGTATATCACACAGGCAGCTTTTAACAGTATTTCCCTTTATCTTCATAAACCTTCCACTTGAACAACACGGCTAACAATTCAAAATGTTACTAATTAGACATTAGGATTCTTTAAATGTTTTTAATCATTATTGGTGAAAAAATTCAGTTATTCATTGAAGAACAAAATGTTTACATACATATATAAAAAGTACAAAATTTATAATACACATATCTCACTTCAAAGTAACACAGAAAGCTGTATTCCCTATCCCCCCCCCCTCTAAAAGAAAGTGCCAGAACTATATCAATGTGTATATTTTAATATACGAAAGAAAAAAATTTCAAATTTTCAACAAGAAAGCTTCAACACAACGATGGATTTTCGTTTTTATAATGTATTTAGCAGTATGAAGCATGGTATATCTTACAAATCTTTATAGTATGAAGTGTGGTATATCTTACAAATCTTTATAGTATGAAGTGTGGTATATCTTACAAATCTTTATAGTATGAAGTGTGGTATATCTTACAAATCTTTATAGTATGAAGTGTGGTATATCTTACAAATCTTTATAGTATGAAGTGTGGTATATCTTACAAATCTTTATAGTATGAAGTGTGGTATATCTTACAAATCTTTATAATATGAAGTGTGGTATATCTTACAAATCTTTATAGTATGAAGTGTGTATATCTTACAAATCTTTATAGTATGAAGTGTGGTATATCTTACAAATCTTTACAGTATGAAGTGTGGTATATCTTACAAATCTTTATAGTATGAAGTGTGGTATATCTTACAAATCTTTATAGTATGAAGTGTGGTATTTCTTTATTATAAAACATAGGAGTTTGAATCACTGAGACAACTCAAGTATCTTAGAAAACTAGTTCAATTGTCATACCTCCATATGAGCAAGAAATGCTTCAACTCTAGAGTCTACATAGGATGGGCTTCTGTCTGACTGAACCAGAACTCTCAGTCCTTGTTCATTAGGAGATTTTCTTACACCACTGAAAACAATATACCCTAAAAAAATACAGTAATAAGGATCTTATTGTACCTATTTAATTAAACAAGCATCAAAATCTTTTGTTTGTTTCACAATTCTGTTAAAAGTTACAAAATGGCTATCCGTGTATAGGAATCCCTAAGTTTGAAATTTTTAATTGACACACTAAAAGGATGGAAGTTAGTCATTAGCACCCATCTGAAATTTGTGAGCTACTTTTGTCCAATCAAATAATGAGATTTGACCATCATTTTTACAGTGCACCCATGACTCCAAAGTGCAAATCATGAAATTCTTTAACAACAGAAGTCCAACTGTTCTGTTTACTAATAAACCGTACTTACAAGTATTAGTTTAATAATTAAACATTCAACTGCTCTGTTTACTAATCAACCATACTTATAAGTATTAGTTTAATAATTAAACATTCAACTGCTCTGTTTACTAATCAACCATACTTATAAGTATTAGTTTAATAATTAAACATTCAACTGCTTTGTTTGCTAATAAACCACACTTTCAAACATTACTTTAATAACAGAAGTCCAACTGCTCTGTTTGCTAATAAAACACACTTTCAAACATTACTTTAATAATAGAAGTTCAACTGCTCTGTTTGCTAATAAAACACACTTTCAAACATTACTTTAATAATAGAAGTTCAACTGCTCTGTTTGCTAATAAAACACACTTTCAAACATTACTTTAATAACAGAAGTCCAACTGTTTTATTAGTAAACAGAGCCATACTTACAAGTATTAGTTTAATAATAGGAGTCCAACTGCTCTGTTTATTAATAAAACACACTTTCATACATTACTTCAACAAGTGAATACCTAACTGTTCTTGTGTCCTAAGAATATTAAAACATGGTTCCACAAAAATCTGGCAGAGGAGTTCAAGTAGCATATTTTGGCGGGTTTCTTGTAAACTACACTGGTAGTAGTTTTCTATTGATGAACTACGATGAATGTTGTTCTCCTTCTCAAATATAAAGTGACTACCTGTAATTATTGAATAAGATTGCAAGTTACATCCCTTCAGAACTCTACATTGTTTTTACACAAAAGTATAAAAGTGACTGAATTTTTCTAAAAATCAATGTTTTTGTGAAATAATTTCTGTAGCAGTTTATATTTAAATAAACTGTATGAGTAGCATAAGGAGACAGAGAGTATATCTGTATAACTAGAGATCTCTATTGAAACTGAACTATGTAAAATTCTTACTATCCATCTTCTTTAACTTTATTTAGCCTGACCAAACCAAACTCCAACCTAGTTTCCACCACTGTATCCCAGGCATGCTTTATTATTAAATTAGCAATATACACAAAACACAAATTTCAGTAAACTTCTAATCACAAGTAACAGTAATAAACAGTTTTATCTAACTACAATGTTCTCACATAAAACATATTACCCTGATTTCTAATACATTTGAGTAACATGATAGTATAATAAACACAGCAGGATATATCACTGTATCAAAAGATATTCAATTTGAAACAACAGAATATCACATTTAAGATGTACATCATATCATATACTTTTATTATTATTATTTTATAGTCAAGCTATATTTTCTGTGAATAACACAATATGCAGGAAAAATTCTAATAACTAATATTACCATCTGTAAGCTCATACTGTCGATTCAAAACTAACTGACTGGCCAGAAGGGGTCGCCAATCGACAGTTTCTTTAATTTTGTCCTCAATTATATCAGTCATCTCCAAGGCATGCTTTAAAAAACATGAAGTTTATATGTAAAAGAACAAAACTAAAACCATAACTTAGAAGGACACTACAATTAAAGAAAGAAACAAAACATGAACAATGGCAGAGAAACAATATTATAAATAAATTCCATAGTGTTATCATTTAAAAAGACACTGTTTTTGTGCTTTAACCACAAAAACACACCGACAGTATTTACAAATAGTGTTTCATCCCATTTTGTGCAGTAAAAACAACAGTAAAAGTTTTGGCATCTTTCATAAAAGAATTCCTATTTTGTTGTAAGTGTACTTTATATACTTATATTTTAACATTTTAGAATAATTTATTGCATATAAAAACATAAGTTATTTCAATAAAACATACAATATTTACTACACTAACTTGGTTTCTAGTTGTCGTAACATAAACATAAGTTATTTCAATAAAACATACAATATTTACTACACTAACTTGGTTTCTAGTTGTTGTTGTTGTTGTAACATAAACACAAGTTATTCCAATAAAACATATGTTATTTACTAAACTAACTTGGTTTCTAGTTGTTGTAACATAAACATAAGTTATTCCAATAAAGACATACATTATTTACTACACCAACTTGGTTTCTAGTTGTTGTAACATAAACATAAGTTATTCCAATAAAACATACAATATTTACTACACTAACTTGGTTTCTAGTTGTTGTTGTAACATAAACATAAGTTATTCCAATAAAACATATGTTATTTACTACACTAACTTGGTTTCTAGTTGTTGTTGTTGTTGTATCATAAACACAAGTTATTCCAATAAAATATATGTTATTTACTACACTAACTTGGTTTCTAGTTGTTGTAACATAAACATAAGTTATTCCAATAAAACATATGTTATTTACTACACTAACTTGGTTTCTAGTTGTTGTTGTTGTTGTTGTTTTCTTCAAACAATACATCTAAACTAATAGAATGTCAGTCACATAAAAATAAAAAGTTAACTTTGTTATCAGTCTTCCACTATAAATTTGCATGAGAAATTGTTTAACATTCAAATATCATACACAATACTAGCAAAAAATTTTATTTAAATAATTATATGTCAGATATTTCTTAAACAAAATTCTTACACTTCATTGCTTTATTTTATTTATTGCAATAGGAATAAAATGGCAGCCACAGGACATACCAGGATCGAAATTCTCTAATAACTGATTCAAACAATAATAAAATATAAATTATTAAGAAATTCTGATTTAACATAAGCTTTAAATTCTGATTTAACATAATTAAATATATAAATGTAAACTAGTTGTTTTTAAAAGAATAGTTGTGCAAAGCTACAACAAATATCAGTATGTAGCTATTACTAATTTTGAGTTGATCGACTAAAAGGAACGCAGCCAGTCAACAGTACATATGTTCATCTTTAGCCTGACCAAATGATGGGATTTTGACCATCGTTCATAATGCACATTTGACCTCAAAGTATGGACCATATTTATGCAACAATGAGATATGGTCTGGGCATGAACAAGTGAGCCACACCCAGCCCAGATAAGAACTAAAATGATTGAACATAACAAGAGCAATAATGTAACAATAATAATATCAATAAAGACAATTCTGTACAGAAGCCAGCTTGAAACATTTAACTAATAAATCAATACACAACAGATAAAAAAACAAAGCAAATAAGTACCATAACTTTTAACAATGTTCCTGGCTCTAATCCCAGTCATATGTAATTAGCTTGGTGTACATCACTGTGAAATAATTATAAAAGTAACATGCCTGCTGACCCAACAACACTGATCTCAGGCTTCAGTTTGTAAATCAAAAAACTATTTTTACACAGAGATTTCCTTTATCATTGATCATAGTTAAGATCTTAACAAATTAGATTTGGTGGCTATGCCACTGTTTCCTAGGACATGTTCAACTTTACTAGATATGGTGGGTAATCTGAAGTTTGAGTGTTCTTAGTTTCCTTTCATAGAGCCAGTATAACCTTGCTTTCAGTGGTATATTTGTACACAGAGACTCAAGTATAACCTTGCTTTCAGTGGTATATTTGTATACAGAGACTCAATAACAAAACTCAGTTGCATTGTCTCTTTGAGTGGTATATTTATTATATTTTTGTAGTAAATGCTTTTAAAGATTCCACCATCAAACCAGCCAAGACATGGTTATAAGTTTCAACGTTAGACATCATCAAACCAGCCAAGGCATGGTTATAAGTTCCAACCTTAGACACCATCAAACCAACTGAGACATGGTTATAAGTTCCAACAATAGACACCATTAAACTAGCCAAGGCATGGTTATAAGTTCCAACGTTAGACACAATTAAACTAGCCAAGGCATGGTTATAACTTCCAACCTTAGACACCATTCAAACCAGCCAAGGCATGGTTATAACTTCCAACCTTGACACCATCAAACCAACTGAGACATGGTTATAAGTTCCAACAATAGACACCATTAAACTAGCCAAGGCATGGTTATAAGTTCCAACGTTAGACACAATTAAACTAGCCAAGGCATGGTTATAAGTTCCAACCTTCGACACCATCAAACCTCCACAACCCACCATCCCTCTTATCAGTAGGGTCATGTTTCAACTTCACAACCTTAGTACTATCACAAACAATATCTTCATGTAGTCATCTTTATTCAAAATTACAACACTATTACACTTATCAAATTTTGAGATGATGATACTTGTTTTTACTTACATTTTTAAAGCTTTAAATTCTTCAGCATTTATATTAAAAAAATGTTTACATTCATCATCATAATTACTAAAATAAGTAAGACCGCTAATATGATTTCTATTACCAAAAGTATGGCCCAAATTATTCCAAATCTTTTGATGTGATAAATTTTACAATTTACAAATATACAAACGGAGGCCTGAGATCAACATTGTTGGGTGTATGTGTATATCGGGTTATCTGTTGTGTCCACCGAGGGGAATCAAACCCCTAATTTTAGCATTGTAAATCCAAAGACTTACCACTGTCCTACCAGAAGAAATGTTGTTGGGTCTGCAGACAGTTTACTCTTAAGGCTATAAAACTTTATTTGGGATAATCATGTTTTAATTGTCACGCATTACTAAACCTTTTATAGAAATGCACATATATTTTGGATAAAATACATATCAGACACAGCACTAGTAAACCTACCTCTTTGGTCAAGTTTCCGTACATGAGTGCTTCAACATGAACACGAGAAAGTATATGACGAATTTGTTCTTCAACTTTTTGTGGTGTCAAATCTGCATAAGAATGTGAAAACAGCAGCATTACTATATTCTGTATACCATGGATTAAAGTTATTATGACTGAACTTAAAAAAATAAATTTGATTAACTTTCTACACATTCCAACATTGGTGAAATTTATGAAAAATAAAAATCCAATAATGTAATAAGTCAACATACAAATGGTAACTGTTCTACTGCATCACATGAAACAGTAATGACCATCAAATTAACTACTTTGGTAACTGTTCTACTGCATAACATGTAACAATGATGACCAAACGAACTAATTTGGTAACTGTTGTACAGCATAACATGTAAAAATAATGTCCAACAAACTAATATCTTATAAACGACTAGAAAATGTTTTAAATACCAGTGAACTATAAGAAGTTGCCAGGAAAAATGATAAATTATTATTAAAAGTACCATCACATGCTTCTAAGAGTTCTTCTTTATTCCAGGATTTCTCATATAACAGCACTGAGGTGTAGTAGGTAGCATGTCTGTAGGATGGTTCTGCAGAAAAGTTTTTTAAACCTCGAACATACTAGAATATATAAAATTACAAGAAATGTTAAGAGATAGGTATAACCTTTATCTATTTCACTTTTTGTTGAAAGCAATTTATTGTGGAATCAAACTCATTTCAAAACTAAATACCACTCAATTAATATACTAAAATGACCACAGAAACTACTAAATTATTCTAATCTTCTACTAGATGGTATTGATAAACGAAAATTCATTTATTAAGATTGTACCACACAGAGTGTTCCATCTTGTTTTGGAGAGCAAACGTTGTGTGACTTGACGTTCATAAAATACAATTCCAGTTATTCACTCACAGCTGTTTTTATTGTGGAATATCTTACACAAAAGAATATACATTGAAATTAGCCCCACTGATCTTTTATGTTGTCACAGTGAAACTCTTAACCAAATAGCATGAAACTTGATTTAGTATTTGTAAAAACTTGAAAGTTTGTTGTGAAACAACACTGTTTTAAAAAAATGAAAGAAAAAAAAAATGTTTAGGTGATGGAGGTTGTTTTCACCTCCGTGTGTTTGTCAGCAAGATTTCTCAAAAATGGCTTTATGGATTTGGATTAAAGTTGGTAAATATTTGGACTATGACCCAACTTAAACGTAAATAGTTTTCAGAGGGTCAAGGTCACGAAAATAAAAATCTTTTAACATGGGGACTGCTTTACTCTATAACTCAGTCAAAAATGATCAAATCTTGATGAAACTTGGTGGACATGTATATATAGAATATTATTTCACATTGACCTGCTGAAAATGGTCCTTGTCCATTGATAATGACGGACATACAGACACATTTTCATATTCTTTGTGGGTTGAATATGATCAATGCTGCGTGACGAGGATACGTGCTCCACTGAGTGCTCATATAGGTTTAGACTTGTGTGTGTGTATATATCAGAGAGTTTAATTTTATATATCCAATCAGTTCAACTTGTTTGATCTTAATTAATATACTTATTATGTCTCCACTGTTTTTCTATTGTTTCTTCTTCTTCTTCCAAACACCTTTCAACTGACCACCATTCCTTCATTTCTCCGCAGAGTGATTTGAAACTTTGTAGGATTATACATCTTGGTCTAATTAATAATCCTTTTTAATTTTTTGATTTAGGCCTTTTGAAGGATTTTATGGAGTCAAAGGTCAAACAACCCAAAAATGCATGTTTGTGGATCCTATGTGGTTATATTTACCACAATGGGCTATCTTCTGTGTCCACTGAGGGGAATTGAACCCTGGATTTTAGCATTGTAAGCCCATAGATTTATTGGTGTCCCACAGAGGGACATTCATGAAATAAACAAAATGAGCATTAAATCATACTAGAATATTAATTCTACAAAATGTTTTAGGACAAAACTGTTGAAATAGTATTAGAATTATATTTTAGAATTAAATTCTAAATTAGGCTGTGAGTGTACACTAGGAGGGAGTTTCAGGTCTGAAAAGAGTTAAAATAAAAAAAAAAAAAAGTAACTGTATTACGTTCATTCTTGAGCGTATAATAAAAAATACAAACACACATCTTAAAGCAAAACCTATATAAGATGTAAAACACACTACAGGAAGACAAGATCAGCTTAGCTGGCTCCATAGCAACCAAAATTATAAATTTTATCACATAGTTTTTATTTTAGTTCCATAATGGACTAAAAATTGTAAGTGTGATAACTAAGAGACTAAGTTTATTTACAATCAAATGGTGTAAGCTTTTCTTACTAACCGTTTCTTTCAGAATCTCAAATCGTTTTGGATCAACCTTAAAATCTGTCAACTTTTCCATGATCTTCTTCAATAGGATGTGTTGTTTATCACTGTACCCGTGAATATAGAGCTAGGTGAAAGAATATATAGCATGAGAACCAATGTAGACAATTACCAACATTATGTTCAAATGGACTTTAATTTCTCTGGTACAAAGAGATAATATAATCATCTATAGTGGAAACATGCCATGTTTGTAGAGCTGGGAGAGTAGTGGAATTTGCTAACTCATTAATCATTGGACTCATTAACTGATTATATTCAACTAGTCAATTATTCTTACATAAGATGACTAAAAACATTTATGCAGAAAATCTGATTTCAACACCTGTGGTGGGGAGCACAAACAGCCCACTGTGTAGCTTTGTGCTTAACAACATACAAACATAATGACAATATTTCAATGATTTGGTTAATTGGAATAATAATAAAAGAAAACTAATAATCAGAAACCCAATTAGTTGATTCTTTTCAAACTTTGTGCCAGTAATAAACTAAGCTGAACAAAGTTCAGTTAATCAAAAATAATAACTAAAAATCATACTGACATATTTTTATTGGCTGGAATAACTGAAAAAGTTATAATCAGAGACACTAATTTCACTTGGTTTATTATTTTTGTGACACCAATCAATTCAATCATAATTTTGAACACTGAATAGTTAGAATAAAATAAAACAGTAATAATCTAAAACACCAGTTGACTATCTTTATGAAATTAATCAGTCAGTTCTACAGTTTACACTTTTATACATAACATAAATAAATCTTCAAGATGGTAAAATGTCAATTTTAGTTTTGAAAATCAGATATTGAACTGAGGATGATTGACTGAAACCTTCAACCATACATATCAGAAAGTATTATGACATGGACAATTTTAAGAAGACAGATATCCAGTGCTGCAACATATATATATGTGTACCTGAATTATACTAACAACATTGTGATTTAAGTGGTAAAAAAAAATTCACACACAACATATACAACAAAGATATCTACATAAACACTTTTATGTTATAGTTCGCTAAACTGCAAGAACAATACTAAACTCTATTTACTCCGATAAATAAAAGCATATTTCAGTAGCAACCCAGACTTAAGGTAATGTGTCAAATAATCTATACACACTCATTTTAAGATAAAAGTTAAGAGTTAGAAAGAACATTGCTGATGTGGTATTTTAATGAACCACATGAACTGTCTGTATTTACTTCAGTACATTACACAACAATGTAAAGGTTTCCTGACTGGCCTGATAAGAAAGCTTTATGTAAATAATATATCTATAAAAGATTACATTATTGGAACCTATGAAGAATAAAGTTTTAAAATGATTTGTTTATGGTATCTGAAGACGATATTTCATTACAGTTACTACAAACAGTCAACAGCTCCTACAGGATCAGTGAGCAAGTTTTTTCATTACCATGAAATTTTGTGGTCAACTCTAAACACAGAAATAAAATAAAAGTCAGTAAGCCTTAAATAACACTAACAAATTCCTCTTCTCAAAGTTTCTAAAAGAAAACAGAAGCAAACTACATATCACTTCATACGTATCACTGATATAATTCTAAAATTAATACTCACTGAGTGATAAATACAAGTTTAAAAGTGAAAAGAGAACTCACATTCATGCCGTACTTAGTGTTGAGAAGCCCATACATAAGACCTGCCAAGTGAGCTGCATAAGTGTATTCATTCAAAGCATCCTTGAAAAGCTGCACAAACAAATACGTTGTGTTTTCATGAAGAGGATCCAAAGAAGCTACTGGACTGAAAGGAAACAATATTAGTGAACTGAAGATGAAGGATGATCACTGGTTGTACATCTGAATAAGGTGCTTATATACAGTACCAGGATAGAGGGTGCACTGATGTAGGTGGAGAGTGTCATGAGACAAATATCGTCAAGGGCAATTAAGTGGGGTATAAAAGACTGGAGCAAGCAAGAAAAATCAGATCCAATGCTTAGATGGGCAAAGGAAGAAACCCTGGCAGTTGAGTAATAGTTATAAGTGGGAGAAGAGGTATGTATGTATTGGAATGGTGTTTAATATATTCACGCTGTTGATAACTCATACAATCTTGAAATAATAAACACATTTATTTTGTTTTAAAAACAACCATTTTACATTTGTAATCTATCAGGAAATAGGGAATGCAAGAACAAGCACAACTAGATTACATTAGAAAAAACAGTAAGACTTAATTATTTTAACAGCAGCTTTTTTGTAACCACAATTCTAAATCAATTAATGTAGCTTACATCATAATCAACTTGAAAATATGGTTTCTCAAACAAAAATGCAGCTGTTAGATATGGGACATATAAACAACAGAAGTTACACAAGTAATTATTACCTGTTAAACTTGAAAGTAAGATTAGCTTTAGGAAGAAGGAATTCATTGTCCTGCTTGAACCAAACCCGGAACATTGGAGTGTTCTGAAACAAACACAATGAAAGTTTCATTTCTAAACTAAAAACTCTCTGTGGCTGTTTGAAACGAACATTTTCCACTTTCTGATCACCATGAAACTTTCATGGGTATCCTAAAGCCTCCTACTTTATTCATTTTCTCATTTTTATTAGTTTGGTGGCCATTCTAATTGTCCCTTAGATAATACCTTAGTGCCAAATTTTAGAAATCAACATATATTTCTTTGGGAAATTAAAAACATGTCACGATAAATTACTTTAAAAAATGAAAAACATGTTTTTGGAACATTACTCACTGAAAAATTCAACTAATCTTCATACAGCTTTCAAGTAAAAGTAACTAAATCTATGCACAGCATGGGCACCTTTGCTAATTACTTGAAAATCTTACGTTAGACATTCCTTGTTAGAGTATATTCCATTGGTGTTTATTATGTAATGAATCATACAAACTTTCTATAAACATGCTACTTGTTCATAACATAGGAAAAACGAAAAAAAAAAGTTATGTCACGTATATACTGACAATACGTAAACTGTAGAGACACACAAACCCAAACTAACATTTTTAATATAAACTGTTAATGAATGGGAAATGGAACAAACTCATAAAAAATATTCTATTCCTGATCCAGCCAACTGGCTTATTTCTTTATTCAAGCAATTACACTTTGGAATCACTTCTAATATCACTAAACTCTCTTCCAAAACATTCTCCAAAGCTGAAGTTAACCTTCTTAATAAAGATCAAGCTTCTCTCCTACCCTAATGATCTAGAAAGTTTTGAAACTACTTTCAAGTTACAAGAATTGGGAGTTTTTTTTCACAACACATCTTGTAATATGTGGTTCACAGTTCGAAGAGAAATTGATCTTGTATCTCCGATCAACAGCATATCTTCAAGCAATACTTCAAACTCAATTAAGAGAAATCTCAGAAAAATTGTTTCAGTTCTGATTATCTTAACACTCAAAAGAATATTACCATAACTTTGTGCCTGAAAATAAATGGGTTTATATAAAATACAGAGTCATCTAAAGTCATGACTTGGTGCCCATACTAATTAAAGTATCCTACCAGCAATCTGGAAGTTGTTTAATATCTTAGTGAATAGCATGAGGATTAAAGATACTTTACCACCTCATACAAACAAACAAATTTACACTACTACTATGTTTTCTTTTCCTTTTTTACCCACAACTTGGCATTTGATATCCCTACATAAAAATAAAAAATTTTAATGTTAATAGAATTAAAACACCAAGAGATTATTGTACAAATGTTCCATTAAATGTGAAAATTACCTTAAAAAAGACTGTGAAAAGTAAGACCAACAAATTTACCTTAATGTGAAAATTATCTTACAAAAGACAGTTTGAAAAAGAAGAGTAACAAACTTACCTTAATCATTTGAGGGAGCTTCATAAACTGTAAAAGAACTAAATGTCAATATTGTCCAATAATAAGGTGACACATTTAATAAAGGAATTATGAAAGTAAATTTCGTAAGCTTACAATGTAAGATATGAATCATCTTTTACACTGAAACACTTCACTAAATGTCATGGCATAGAAAAAAAACCTTACTTTTGGTGGTGTGTTAACTAAATGAAACAATGGAATAGCAATGAATTAGTATGCTATATTTCTATACTACTCCAAATGCATTAGGTAACAACTTTTCAAATATGTGTTTTTTCTTATAGCAAAGCCACATCAAGCTATCTGCTGTGTCCACTGAAGAGAATCGAACCACAGATTTTAGCATTGTAAAGACTTACCGCAGGGGAACTTTTCAAATGTAATGCAAACATTTTCACATATAGCTACACTAACTTACTGTAATAATTTTTATACTAGAAGGTTCATAATACTCTATTTAAGAAAACATCAGTAACATGTATGCAATGCTTATTATCCTAACTATACGTCAACCAGAAGAGTCCATATTGCACTGAGCACCACTGATTTGAAACTATTCATACAGAAAATAAACTTGTTCTCCTTTAACCACACACTTAAAAAACAAATCACTTCTAAGATGAAATTTATTTAATCTTATACATCATTTTTTTTTGCTAGGCACCATGGGTTATCTGGGCTGTGCCCACCATATTGTATCAATTCCAAATTTTTAGTTTTATGAGCTACTGAAGGACATTTTATACATAAAACAAAAAAACAATAACACTAAAGTTGATTTTGGGTTGATTTAAAGAAGCTCTCAACAAAAGCATTACAGCTTTTGAATTTCCTGAATTTTTTCTGAGGATAATACAGTACTGATAGCCCCTAGAAGGAAAGTCAAAATAGTTTTATAAATTTTAGCAAATGACTGTTTCTTAAATTTGGTTGTCATGGTGTGATGTAATTGCCTAAGTGACTACTCAAATGGACAAAGAAAATTATTGAAAAAGAATGTAAAAATATTTGGTAATTATAAAGAAATATTTGAGTTTAGCACATCATATTTCACCAATGGTATGGTGTAAGAAGGTAAGATTATCCAAGGGTGTTAACGACCTAATGTGGATGCAAATGCCACACTTGTCATCATTGATGCCTCTACAACATGCCTGAGCATTTACAGCAATAGTTCAAGATGTGCTCTTCCAGCATCCAAAATGCATAGTATCTGTAACAATGGCCATTACGGCAATAATGAGCATCTCATCTAGCATGCTGGCCACTTTCTGGGCAATAGCATCTTTGGGATCTAGAATTGTGTGAAGCTTCACATGGTACATATGTGACTACAGGTACTCCCACAACCCAAAATCAGCTGGTGTCAGGTCCGGTGAACAATGTGGCCATTAACAAGGAAATTAATGTGAAATGATCTTTTCCTGAAATTGTTTCTGAAAGATGTATTTCACCTGGTAATTACCAATATGTGGAAATGCACAATACTGCATGAAAACCATAGTGTCTATCATATTTCATTGCTGCACCATGGGAATCACATTGGTTGTGAACATTGCATGGTACCATGTAGCACTGACTGTGTAGGTTTGCAGTACACGTGTTGACGGTTCTTCAAAACAAAGTATGGACCAATAAAAAAGTCAGCTGTGAAACCACACCACACTGCCACCTTAGCATGATGGTGTGAAACAAATACTACATGTGAATGAGCACGAGTTTCTAGTCAGATAATGCAACTGCTCATTTTGATACTTCAAAAAAAAAGATGAAATGTGCTTCCTTACTCCATAAAAAATGGGTAGGCCTAAAACTGCAAAGCAAAATCAAAATCTTAAGTTAAATCTATTTCATTTGGTTACTAAACAAGATGCAGCCTTAAGAGGAGTTGAAATTGAAAAATCCAGACATTGGGCAATGTAACACATGTTGCTGCATCCATATGCACTTGTACTGGCTTGTTCAGCTATGGCCCGGCTGACCTCGGCAATAGTTTCAATAGATGTCGATGGTTTGCCTATACGTGGCTTATCACAAGTGCATCTCCTCAAATTTGTTTATGAACTTACAACAACACTGAAACAAGCCTGCTGTGGATGTTATACACTCTACAGTATTCCTTGAGAGCTGCCTCAATATCGCAATTCTAGTTCACTTCTCTTCACACTTGTCATTTTCATGTTGGTTAAGCCAGCTACAATCAACAGGCCTATCGATTTCAATGAGAAATATATGAAAGACACTACATTGATGCCCATGGTGGTAACACATGACAACTGTGACATTTGCATCTGCATGATACCCTTAACATCCCTGTATAATTCCACTTTCGTATACCATGACATTCGTGAGATATGATGCACCAAACTGTGAAACTTTTCTTCATAATCACTCTGTATATATAAATGAATATAAAGTAAGTTTAAAATTCATTACACATATTATTAAGTGAAACTTTCTGATTAACATTTTAAAAAAAAGACTGCTTGCTTATAAATTTGGTATGGTAAAAAAGTTACTTTTATTGTAAAATAATAATCAAAAACACAGTGAAACTATATGCAGTATTTTTTTAATCAAAAGAAAGATCCAACCTAGATTTAGCTAAAAACATTAGAAACTTTATAAAATGTAGGAAGACATAAAAACCATCCATAATGAATTTGTTTTCACTTTTCAAAGCTACAAAATCATAAAAATATCAAATAAATAAAAATATTTTCCTATAGAAAGTTTATCTCAAGTTTTACATAGTTTTTGCAATACAATAAAACAAACCATATGACAGGTATATCCAAACAATGCATTACAGAAAGTTAAGTCCCTACTGCAACAGAAAAACAAAAATCTCTCACCTCTGGTTGCCTTGGAACTAGATCAAAATTTGATGGTATAAATTCATTTTTAGGAGGCAGCTTGAATCTTTCGTTGTAACCTGCATTCTCCCATTGCTTAAAAATACAAGTTATTTATATATACCAAAAAATACATTTATACTCCAATAAAAGCTTACATTTCCATTACTCTTACAGAATATAAAAATAGTAGGAACTCTTAATAAAACTATATTACTGTTACTCCTTCAGAATAACAAAACAGTTGGTGCTTTTAGTAAAACTACATTATTGTTACCCTTACAGGATAAAATTAGAGGCCAATGCTCATGGGAGAATGCAACATGTTTCTGCCACGTGATCCCAACATGGCCAATTTTGACACCAGAAAACTGTTTGTATCACTGCTTGGGACCTGCAATGAGATGTCTTTGTACCAAATCCAATTTAAGTTGGTCGACATACACATGAATAGTTAAAAAACCTAAAATTATGTTTTTTTGTGTTAGGCACATGAATATTTATATTTATGCCAGTTTTCATCCTGATTGCTGTAAACATAACCACACAGAAGTAAAAAATATGCATTTCTTTTGGGTTGTATGATCTTTGACCCCATAAAATCATTAAAAAGGCCCAAATCAAGAAGATAAGAAAGGTATATGGGCATACTGGACCAAGGTATAACCCCATCAAGGTTCAAGTCAATTGAAAATTGCTTGGAAGAAGAAAGAAAGATAGAAGAAATAACAGAGAAACGTCTCTCTGTAGAGACACAAATAGTAGGTACTCTTAGTCAAAATACTACATTGTTGCTACTTTTTACAACATATTCTACGTAATTTTAAATCCAAGCTTAAAATGTATACTTTATTTAATTAATTCCAAGGTCTAACTATCACCATGATGATTAACAAATTTTACATAGCAAAACTCACTTGGTGAGTATTAAACCATTATCCTTATCATGAACATTAAATCATTATCCTAATGAGCTTGGTGAGTATTAAGCCATTTTCTTAATGAGCTGGGTGACTATTAAGCCATTATCTTAATGAGCTTGGTGAGTATTAAGCCATTATCCTAACAAGTTTGGTGAGTATTAAACTAATTTCATGTACATTAAACTATTATCCTTACTCATTTGGCAAATATTAAACCATTATAATTTCTAATCTACTGAGTATTAATCCATTGTTCTTACTCATTTAACATAACAATGTTTAGGGAAAACAAGGGACTCTATTTGTCCATTTCAGCTGTCCAATCCTCTAAACTAAATGAGAACTATTAAACAAATACATTTAAAACAAAAAATCTTAAATATAGCCTTTACTATTCATATAGTTATCAAGCTTTCTCTTAAACTCACTTAAATTTACTGCCTTCACAACATCTGAAAGCAACCCATTTCAAAGGCCAACCACCCTGTTAGAATAATAGAACTGTTTTAACTGAAAATGATTCATACCTTGCCGAAATTTATATTTGCGTCCTCTAGTCCTACTATTCTCGCTGTTAAGTAATAAAAAAGATGATACATCAACACTATCAATTCCCTTTACAATCTTAAACATCTCAACCAGATCCCATCTAACTATTCAACAGATAACAATTTGAGAGATTCCAACTTTTCCTCATATGACAACCCCTCCATCCCAGGCACCATTCTAGTAACCCTCATCTGAACCCTTTCCAACAATTCAATGTCCTTCCTAAGGAGAGAGCCCAAGACAGAATACAATACTATATATGTGGCCTACCCAGTGACCTGTACAATGAAATTATAACCTCTTTAGACTTCTATTCAATATTTCTGTAGATACAACCTAAAATCCTATTTACCCTACCACTAGCAACAGCACACTGCTTGGATGACTTTAGAAACTGATCAACTACTACACCAAGATCCCATACTTTCATGACACTGTTAAGGTTATTCTCATCCAAATTATATTTATAATTCAAATTATGATAACCCACATGTATTTATTATAATTAAAACCCATCTTCCATTTATTTGCCCAACTCACTAAATGACTTAAATCCTTTAGTAAAGCAGCAGCATCTCTTCACAGCTAATAACACCCAAAACCTTAATATCATCTGCAAATTTAAGTAACTTATTGACCATTCCTTCATCTATATCATTGATGTAAATCAAAAATAACAAAGGTCCCAAGGCTGAGTGTACCCTACTTATGACATTAATCCAGTTTGACTGAATTTCATTTATAACAACCCTCTGCTTTCTTCCATCCAGCCAATTTTCTATCCAATTAACTAACTTATCCCCCAACACTTATACAGATACTTTTTTTTTACAAGTCTTTTATGTGATTACCTGTTCAAATGCATTCGGAAAATTTAGATGCACCAAATCTACACCCTTACTTTCATCTACATAAGCAGTTAA